TCTCGACCCCGCACAAAATGATCTACTCGACCACCATTATGGTTACCGCCAACAAAAAAAAATGGAGGTAAAAAAAAAGCGGTAGCCTGATTGCCGAGTTCACGAAGTGAATTGCCTTGTTTTCCAACGTGGTTGCCAAGCGACGAAAACCCAATTCCGACGGCAAACACCGGGGGGGGCGGCTTGTTTTACAGCGTCGTTGCCAAGCGACGAAAACCCAACCCCGATGGCAAACACCGGGGGGGGCGGTGGAGGCATTGCATTTCCATCCCCGACGGGGCTCCATATACTTACTGCTTATTGGGATAGGGAGCCACAGAGCCAAACATTTTTCGTGCAATAGAACCTAGTTTCTACGAGCGAGGAGAGGCACACCGGTGTGTCGACGNTCTCCACCCCGCACAACATGATCTACACGACCACCATTATGGTTACCGCCAAAATAAAAGAACGGAGGTAAAAAATGAAAACGGTAACCTCTTTGCCGAGTTCACGAAGTGAATTGCCTTGTTTTCCAACGTGGTTGCCAACCGACGAAAACCCCATCCCGATGGCAAACACCGGGGGGGGCGGCTTGTTTTCCAACGTCGTTGCCAAGCGACGAAAACCCAACCCCGATGGCAAACACCGGGGGGGGCGGCTTGTTTTCCAACGTCGTTGCCAAGCGACGAAAACCCAACCCCGATGGCAAACACCGGGGGGGGCGGCTTGTTTTACAACGTCGTTGCCAAGCGACGAAAACCCAATCCCGATGGCAAACACCAGGGGGGGGGAGGGGGGGGGAGGGAAGTTTTTTGTCCCCGGACGGGCAAGCTGCTCACTCAGGAAGGCAATCAAACACAGCCTACGGTAGACATCGCCTGTGCCGCAGTCATTAATCCTGGCGATGCGAAAGCAGCCACCCCCACTGACATCAACGACTACCACAACTCCCACCTGCACGCCCACGAGAAACTGCTCAGAGACACGACGAAGCAGCAGGGAGTGCAGCTGACGGGAGGACCGCTGCTACCATGCCTCGGCTGTTCGATGTCCAAGGGGCAGGTGAAATCCGTCAGCACGAGCACATCCACGCGCACAGTTAAGAAGCTGTTTCGCATATTCCTCGACCTAGGGGGAAAAACGAAGATCGTAAGCATCGGGGGCAGCCTATACACCCTCATTATCGTGTGCGATCACACGCGTTGGACGCGCGTATTCTTTCTGAAGCGAAAATCTGACGCAGCCGAGAAATATAAGCATACCTTGGCAGACTACCGAGCTGCGGGAGTTCCGTGTGAAGTTTACGTCGGACGGACTGACGGTGGTGGCGAGTTTCAAGGGGCGTTCGCGGATGTTTGCCGCAAATACGGCATCAAGCAAGAGTTTACCCCTCCTGACACGGCCAAGTACAACGGTGTAGCTGAGAGAGCGTTGGGGGTGATCACTGATGCCGCGCTCGCCGCGCGTATCCAAGCTACGGCACTCTTCCCCGATGCGCCCAATACCCCCAAGTTATGGGCTGAAGCCATCTCTTGGGCGTGCCACCAGAGAAACTGCACCGCCACCATGGGCAACCCTGGCCACAAAACCCCCTACTAGATGTTTCACGGCACACCGCCGCCGGTCGGGTCAACGTACCCGTTCCTCAAGCCAGCCGTCTTCAAATCAAGAAGAGAGGCAAAGTCGCAACCCAAGGGACAGAAAGGATGGTACCTTGGACCAGCCCACATCCACTCCCGTGATTGCGTTCGCACGCTAAACGAAGCTGGAACAATAATCGTCACCCGAAATTTCACCTGGCGCCAAGTGCCCGCTGCTTCGCCCGGCCCCCTGCAGCCAGTGCCTCTCGCAGATGATGAGTAGGGCGGGGAGGGCGAGAGCAATGAGGGCGCGTCACGTCAAGGTGGAGGGGGGGAAGAAGACTCAAGGAGTGCGTCCGACCTCGACGTAGTTGACGCTCGTGGGCTGGGGCAAGCGACTCCGCTCGTGCGCATGGGGGCTCCTGCGGCACCCGGAAATGGGATGCAGGGGGAAGAAGGCGGAGGTCCCCCGTCGCCCTCTTCGGGAGGGGGTGACTTCGGCGGTGGCGATGACCCCGCCGACAAGCAGCAACAGCAACGACAGTAGTGGCCCCAGTGACGTCTCCAACAACCACGACGGAGGCGGCAGCGAGCCACTCAGCGGCGACTCGGGTGATGAGAGCAGCGGCGGGAGCGAGCCCGTCAGCAGTACATCTAGCCACGACGGCAGCAACGACGACGGTGACGGCAGCGAGGCCGTCGCCCCCCACTGCGATGACGATGGCGGCGGCGAGACGGGCGACCCCGGAAAGAACAATGGTGGCGGCAATGAAGGCGGCGACCCTGAGACGCTCGAGGAGTTGAAGTACGACCCCGCCGACAGCCGATACTCGTCAGGAACGGAAGGGAAGAAGCTTCTTTGGGGAGCGTCGAGCGCCGGCCAGCTGCGCCATGTGCTCCAGCCCGGCCGCACCCGGAAGCAGACCCGGGAGTTGCGGGGCTCCGAGGAAGAGCCGAGCGAGGCGCCAGTCCCCGAGGAGGCGCTGTTATCAACCGTCCTGGAGACCGAGAACGGTCCGGAGATCGTTGCGGAATCTATCCGCGAATCGCTGTTGGAGGAGCGCATGCAAGACGAGCAAGCGCACCGTGACGAGCTGAAGAAGCAGGTACAGTACGATCTAGTGAAGGCGCTCCATCCTGATGCAGGGGAGCTGGAGCTGGCGTTCAGTGCAAACGAAAAGGACAACGGGTCTCCGCAACCACTCCTTGACCCAGAGCTAAGTGTTCCCTCGCCGATCGGGCAGAAGCCTAACGATGTAGAGGCTGTCCCGCTCACATACAAAGATGCGATGGATTTCAAGTACAAGGTGTTTTGGGAAGCAGCGATGATGAAAGAGAAGGGTGGTCTAGACAAGACGGGGACTTTCACGAAATTGGAAAACTTCCCGAGGGGCGGAAGGCAGTGAGTTCGAAGTGGGTGTTTTCATACAAGACGAACGAGGAGGGTATGATCACCGCCTTCAAAGCCCGTATGGTTGCGCGTGGTTTCTCACAGATTCCGGGGGTAGATTTCCACCACTCAGCTTCTGCATGCCCGTCTACGACGTCCATCAATATCGTGGTTGTCGTAGCCACCGAGAAGAAAAGAAGGTGTTCCGCTGGGACATTAAACAAGCGTACATTCACGCCAAGCTCAAAGAAGAGATTTTTATCAGGCTTCCCCAGGGTTGTGGTGATATGTCTGGCAAGGCGTGCAAGGTTGAGCGTGCACTGTATGGCCTGAAACAAAGCGGTCGCGAGTGGGGTTTGAAGCTGCTGATTCCCTGATCGCGAATGGGTACGAGCAGTGCAGGGTTGACCCGTGTGTTTTCCGTAGGATGGTTGACGGAGTGGTCGTAGGTGTGATCGTGATCTACGTAGACGACATTTTGTGCGTGGCGTCCGAGCAAGAGCGTCAAGAGTTGCTTGCTTCCCTCCAGAAAAGTTTCCGGTGAAGGATTTGGGAGAATGCACGTGGTATGATGGGATTGGCATTGAAATGGACCTAGAGAACGGCATCACCAAGTTGTCCCAGACGGCATACATCGAGAGCATCATCAAGCGGTTTAACATGACTACTACCGCCCCCACGCCTGCTGTCCCCGGCGCTGACCTAGGGCCGAAACGAGATGACGAGCCCAAAGTGGACAAGCCAGTGAGGGAGGCACTCGGGTGCCTGATGTGGGTGGTGCATACGAGGCCGGACATCGCTCTGCCGTTGAACAACATCCAGAAGGTGGCTCACTCTCCCACCGATAGGATATGGCAGGCGCTTCTGAGGGTCATGTCTTACCTCAACGCCACGAAGGACCTGAGCCTCACCTATGTGCGGGGGTCAGGGCTAGATCTAGGAGTGTGGGTCGATGCCAGCTACGTCGACGACGTTGTTGACAGGCGTTCGACGACGGGACTAGCCGTAACCGTGGGTGGTAACACGGTGAACGGAACCACAAAGACGCAGCGTGTGCCGGCGCAGTCATCCTCGGAGGCAGAGTATCTAGCAGCCGGGGAGGGAGTGAAGGAGGCGTTGCATGTGCTTGCGGTTCTGTCTTTCGTAACGCCTGAGACAAGTGGGGCGAAGATCAAGGTGNTGTGCGGGGGTCAGGGCTAGATCTAGGAGTGTGGGTCGATGCCAGCTACGTCGACGACGTTGTTGACAGGCGTTCGACGACGGGACTAGCCGTAACCGTGGGTGGTAACACGGTGAACGGAACCACAAAGACGCAGCGTGTGCCGGCGCAGTCATCCTCGGAGGCAGAGTATCTAGCAGCCGGGGAGGGAGTGAAGGAGGCGTTGCATGTGCTTGCGGTTCTGTCTTTCGTAACGCCTGAGACAAGTGGGGCGAAGATCAAGGTGCTTGAAGACAACAAGGGAGCTCTTGCCCTGGTGCAGAACCCCTTCAGCTCGTCGAGGAGCAAGCACATCGACGTGCGGTACCAATTTATCCGCGAGCTCTTCAAGTTGGGGAAGATCCCCGCAGAGTGTGTCCCGACGGACGAGCAGCACGCCGACATGCTGACCAAGGTACTTGGTAGGACCAAACTGGAGTACCACCGGAAGGCCCTGATGAACCTTCCGGAGTAGTCCTGGCTTCTGTGTTACTGTGTTTTAGCACTGAGCATCTCGAATGTTTTGATTTCTGTGTTGCATTTAGCACTGGGCATCTATGGCCATGGTTTGTCATGCAGGAAGCATTGGTCGGCGGGTCACATGACCGGTCCAATTTGTCCTGCCATTTGGTCTTTGTATTGGAAGTGCGGCTGCTGGAATCCTCCGTGATAGCAACGATTTCTATATTTGGGTACGCGAGGGTNAGTCCTGGCTTCTGTGTTACTGTGTTTTAGCACTGAGCATCTCGAATGTTTTGATTTCTGTGTTGCATTTAGCACTGGGCATCTATGGCCATGGTTTGTCATGCAGGAAGCATTGGTCGGCGGGTCACATGACCGGTCCAATTTGTCCTGCCATTTGGTCTTTGTATTGGAAGTGCGGCTGCTGGAATCCTCCGTGATAGCAACGATTTCTATATTTGGGTACGCGAGGGTGTTTGATCCGGATGGCCGGATTTTCCCCCGCACGGTTATTGATTTGAGTATTTCAGGTAGATCTGGGGTATCCATGCCCCACTGATGATTCGCCACTTGCGTGACGAACCAGGGAGAGTGTTCGTGTGTTTGGATACGGACTGGTAGATCTGCCGAAAACAACGGGAACACGCAGATAGGGGCATAGGTATACCATGACGGTTACTCTGCGGTGGAACCTATGCGGTGGNGGTATCCATGCCCCACTGATGATTCGCCACTTGCGTGACGAACCAGGGAGAGTGTTCGTGTGTTTGGATACGGACTGGTAGATCTGCCGAAAACAACGGGAACACGCAGATAGGGGCATAGGTATACCATGACGGTTACTATGCGGTGGAACCTATGCGGTGGAACCTCTCGAGCTCTCTCGAAGTTATCGGGACCTCATTCTTTCTCCGCTCCCCTTTCGCGTGTTTAATACAAAAGATAAAACAAATCTCCCCCTTCCAAGTAAAGGATATACAAACGCACGAATAGCAGGGTGCCCANTACAAAAGATAAAACAAATCTCCCCCTTCCAAGTAAAGGACATACAAACGCACGAATAGCAGGGTGCCCGANAACCTCTCGAGCTCTCTCGAAGTTATCGGGACCTCATTCTTTCTCCGCTCCCCTTTCGCGTGTTTAATACAAAAGATAAAACAAATCTCCCCCTTCCAAGTAAAGGATATACAAACGCACGAATAGCAGGGTGCCCAAAAAACCACCCTGCCAGGGTACCCCACCCTGTGAACGGCAGCAAGGTGAGCCGGCTGCACGGTCTATGCTGGACACCCTGGACAGGGTCCACCCTGCCAGGGTGGCCCGAATTACACCCTGCAAGCAATCTGCGGCCGCGAGTTCGGTGTCTGTACATCAGTTCCTTATGTTTTTTTCATTTGCCATCGCGATCGCGGGACGTTCTCTTTTGCATTCACGTTCATCGTCTCTTGGCTGAACCGTGCAAATACAGAACGCGCCACCAGTTGAGAACTTGAGCCTTTCAAGAAAAAAACTTGAAACTTGGCCATGAAAACAGGTGATCAAGCAAGATGCCAACACTAAAACCTATGGACTATAGTCGCTATGGGGGTACCCTGTAGACAAAACAAGAAACAAGCCTCGGCCAAAAATAGTGGTTCAGTGGTGGCGCGGTCTGTACCCGCTTTGATCTTTGATCCACGACTGACTACAGATACGTCTTGCTTTTGCTGGAACAGCAGCACACGACATTGTAACCATGGTAAAATATCAAAAAGGTCATGACACACGATGCACATCAAACAACCAACGCCTCCCTTGTCTTCTCAAATACGGCACTATAGCAATTGTAATCCTCTCCATCCCGCTCAAGCCAGCAATCTTTGCAATATATGTGCTTCACGAATGGCAGAAAACTACCGTGTACCGTACGATGTTCTTTGCCGTCCACACGAAATATTTGGTTGCGCCCACCCCCCTGTCGGAAGAAATGTCAACTATATCCGTTCCAACTTACGCACGTGCCGACCGGTCGGTGATAATGACATAAAGAGACATAGTAGTAAGCCAACGCATCGCAATATTGGGCTTGAAACTGAGGCATACGGACCATAGGCAATCTACGTCTGGGACATAATCCACCGCCACACAAAGCGCCACGCCCGCAAACAAATTCACGACCCCGCGCGGAAGCTCAGCTTCATGAAGAAGGAATAAGTGCTCACAACACTCAGCCATTACTTCATGTCGTCCACGAATAGGCCCGAGGTCGGCAACGTCCAAGTGCACGTGAAGAGCACGGTCTCTTCACGATGAGGTTGCCCTTCCCGTCCGCAAATGGGGAGAGGAAGCGCATGATTTCCATACTCCGTGAGGATGGCGGAGGCATGGCGACGAGGGTGCCATGACCTGGCGTGCAGTGTGTTGCACAAGAATTGTGGCAGATCGTAACGAAGGGAAGGGTAAACTACTGGTAGGAAGATGGGGTGATGAGCCAAAGAAACATGCGTATTCGGTTAAATGCGTATCTTCCGACGTTTGTCCAAGATGCGAAAGATCATTTCTATGCTGCGGCGGAGGTGAAGCAAACTGTAGATTGCCGAGGCATACGGCTGTAACTATTTCGCGTTTGTCCCGGGGGGCCGGGCAATCTGTAATGCTGACAACGGCTACCCCGAGGGTGGTGGAGAGGTTACTCATTTTTGCGGATCAAGAACACCGGGAGGGGATTTCAACGCGTTTACCACTTTTCCGGCCGAATAGGCGGGGTATCTGAGAGGNAGAGGTTACTCATTTTTGCGGATCAAGAACACCGGGAGGGGATTTCAACGAGTTTACCACTTTTCCGGCCGAATAGGCGGGGTATCTGAGAGGGTAGTAGTGTTGAAACGATAATACTACTTTTGTTGTAGATGCTGAGGCATCCTTTAACTACTTTTCGCTGGTTCTGGTTGATTCTCTGCTCTCTTCACGGTCCCAGGTCACACAGTAGAAGCCTTAGTAGCCTGTACTTCCGACGCAAGTATCAATCGAGATAAGCACCCCCTTCCCTATGCTAATACACTAGTGCGTCTTGTAGCGTTGCGGGAAAGCGATCGGTCGGAATTCGGGAGAAAATGAATGCAGCGAGACTACTCTTGACCTAGGCATGGGAAGAAATCAAAGGTGCCAATGGCACCTTTGAGGCCTCGGTTGGCAGTGTTCAGGGGAAATCTGCCAGGTGAAATGAAGTACAACGTGCAAACACCCATTCTGTCACCTGCGCGAGGAAGCACTCGTGAAGCAGGTCCTGTCCCAAAAGTCGTCTCTTCGACAGTAGGCACTCGTTGAAGCCAGGCGTTCCTTGTTGAATGTCCACATCATGTCCCTAGGGTACTAGAATGAGTAACAAGCAACACAGGGCGCGCTCCCCTACAAGAACAATAGAAACGTGCGGCTGTGTAAGACCAAATCTGCACTCGCTACCACGGACACAACTACCTCATCACCAAAACGTTTCATGTCACACACAATTGAACAGACTCCCAACAGGCTAATTTCTTCCATGGAAACTCCACCAGGCAACCGCGGGTACTGCAGTAGCAACGATACATCCACTCGTTGCTCACATGTCGTTCAAGACGGTCTGGATGCCGGTGTACATTCTCGCCCCATTCTCCTCAAAAATCTTCTACATCAATGTTCGCCGACTTGCGGCTCGCTAGCTTAGGAAGCAGCTCGACCTCAATGGTGTGGATTGCTGCAGTGAGATTCGGCCACTACAACAACAGGGGGGAAAAGGGGGCGCTTTGCACGTCTTCGCACACCGAACACAAAAAAGCAACACGAACAAGAAACATGGGCAATGTACCTCAACGACGATAAACTATAAGAGGCATGGAAATGCTGAAAAAAGGATTGTGATAGTGTCCAATATACCGTGGATAGCCCGCGTTGAATCAAAGGATGCTAACTTTGCTCAACAGCCGATTGGCCGGGGGTGGAAAACAATGTCTAATGATGGTGGGATTCCAAGAAACGAAGCACGGGTGGCAACACCAAAAGTGAACGAAATATATGCACCGCAGCAGAGAGGCGGAGGAGCTCGTGCGAAACTTTTATTCTGCTTGGGGCAGTACCACACAAGTTTTCTGAGTCACGCAGCATCAGCCCGTTGGGCGTGGGAGACTTGAGAGGCCCCATCTGCAAANGTGAACGAAATATATGCACCGCAGCAGAGAGGCGGAGGAGCTCGTGCGAAACTTTTATTCTGCTTGGGGCAGTACCACACAAGTTTTCTGAGTCACGCAGCATCAGCCCGTTGGGCGTGGGAGACTTGAGAGGCCCCATCTACAAAAACCGTTCAAATCAAATCCCAGTCTTCATTCGCGTTTTGCCTCCATTATTTTCGCGGAAATCACGCAAGTCTAAAGTACACTCGATGCAACGGGTGCGAGTTACAGCAGCCACAGCTTGGAGAACTTGCATCTGTGTAGCCTAATTGCAAATTACCCATTGCATGCACACGTGTATGCACATGACACAGCAAAAGTTGCTTAGTTTCTTACCGTGCGTCGCGTATGATACCACACCCCCTGCACCGATCATCAACGCTCGGCTACAGCAGTCTGCAGCACAATTAGGGACGGGGCCGAAAATGGACGGGTTGGAACTGTTCTCTCGAGAGCTTTCCGAAAACGGATCACTTGGTTTCGGCACCCTCTTCGTTGTGGAGTACGGGCGTTGAGTACAGGAGTCGAGCTTTCGATCCGGGGGGTGTGGTGTCTTATGCGACCACACGGTAACTATTGTACGTTTCTCTTCTACGAGCATTGTGCCAAGGGATTTGTCAAGGAAACATTTGCCAGCAAGCAAGGTGATTTTCAAGGCGGGCGTGTGCGCAAGCGTGCAACCATGCGAGCGCGGCGCACGCGGCACGCACAAAGCAGACTACAGCAGTACTGCTGAAGAAGTAGTTTTTTTTTTTGAGACCGCCATTGGACAAGTCATTGCTGGCGGGTCGAGATGAAAACGTGTGTGAGTGCACGTGAATGTCCATCCGCAGGAGGCAGCATTTACCTGAGATTGAGATGCCGCGGGAATGCTGCGCCCGACTACTCCCGATTGTGCGCTGCCTTGGCCTGCGGTTCTTGTTGATTGAGGCGACCAATGGACCATCAGGCGGCCGGCTCGTTCACAGCAGTTTGGACCTCGACAGCAGCACTGCTGTAGACATGCTTTCGCGCCAACAACGCCAGACTGCTGCACCGTATTGCCGACTCCCGTCGGCGTCGCGGGAAAGACGAGTTGGCATCCAGTGTTATGTGTGGATATAGACTAACGCGGCACTGGCGGTGCGAGTTGCGTGGTGCGCTGGGCGCGTCCGCCACAGGCCCGCCACTGCTAGCCAAGCACGCGCCCCCACCAATGGTATACGACAATCAATCACAATAAAGACTTTAATGTTATCGGCACTTTTTTGTTATTGTCATACAGTTAAGGCTCGCACTAAAGAATATGGTTGTTGTTGTCTTCACATTAAACCGTATGTCAGTTGCTAAATGCCAAAATCTAGCAAAGACTCTCAGCCCGTGGTCACGAAAGTGCTAGAGCCATCTGAGGATCTAAAGAACACGCACACATATAACGAGAAAAAGGTATCCCAAGAGCCCGAAGAGGTACACCTAAAAATCCCTGCAGCACCGTATGCGTGCCCAAAAACTGAACTGCACGTCCGTCCCACCGTTCGACTACAATAGCATCACCCCCTCCCTGTCCCACTCTATTATACCAAAACGGAAGATTGCCGACTACTGCTCTCAAGGTTCTTGGTCTGAAAAAAATAAAAATTCTCGCGCCGAATGGTCAACCAG